TCGTGATATCAATCAGAGGGACTTGGGCCCTCCTCCAGAGTTCAAGTGTGGACATCGGCTTGAGTTTATGTAGCAAATTATGATCTTTATTATCAACTCTGATTTGATCCATGAATTTTTATACTAAGCAATAACGTTATATAGTCAGCAGAGGACAGTTAAGAGCAGAGAGTCGTTTCCCCGTACTTGGTGCAGACCTAGCACGACTGAGCTCCGTAGAAAGCACTGGATCTTGTGACATGGAGATTACAAACAGGGCATTTGAAAGTAATTTTGCCAAAATTGTCATAACTGAATTTTTTGCCGTGTGGACTTTCTGATTTTTTTTTTAATTCTTTATCTACCAGTCTTAGTTGAGAAAGAGAGAAGCAATTATATTAAGATTTTTTTCAAATTATAGGTGTAACAACTTCAGATTCACTGATTGCAATCATGTGGATCCATAGACTATATATAGCCTTCTTACGAAGTCAGCCTGGGATAGATTTATTGACGTCTGAGGGCTGGCCACCTTCCACCATGTTGAGGGGATTTTAACAATACAATTCCCATTTATATTTATATCTATATTGCTCTCATCGTTAATTGCCAAAACAGCAGCATTTTATATATTGAGTTGGGGTGGGGGGTTGGGTCTTTCTGTGGTGTCGCATGGAAGGGAAGGCTTTGTATAACACTTGTCAACACACCCTCCCAGAGTCTCAAGCAATATACAGAAATCTCTGTAGATTAAATTCCTGCCATTTTTGAAATGTGAGCATGTGCTTTGCCATCCCATATGGGTTTTGTCTTTTTGTTTTGTTTTTGTGTTTGGCTTTCTCAAGACAGGGTGTCTCTGTGTAGCCCTGGCTGCCCTAGAACTCGCTCTGAAGACCAGGCTGGCCTCCAACTCACAGAGATCCTCCTGCCTCTGCTCCCAGGCGCTGCCACCACACCCAGCTGGTTTTGTTTTTAATGATAATTTGGTTGCTGTTGATGGGCTTTCTTTCCAAACTTGCTCATTCAAATGAACAGCGAAATCAGAGGTCCCTGCAGTGGTTCCTGCCCTCCCTTGAGTGCCCATCCTCACCTAACAGACTGGAACCTGACTGTTAGTCCTCTAATAAAATAATGAGGTCCCCCCCCCATGTCCCTCTTTGATACCCTCCATTCGTTATACCATTACCGGTCGTAAGTCAGAAAGGAAAAAGTAGTTCCCCTCCCCGTGAGACTGGACTCTCTCTGGGCCAGAAGTCAGTCATTGAAAGATTGAAATTGTCAGTCATTGAAAGATTGAAATTGTGAACAGCCTCCCTTCTATTTCCAAATGTACAGATTTTTTAGAAAGATGGGTTTATCCAAGTCTGTCTCCCTGCTGTGTAATGCCCTTTAAACCCACCCCCCATATTTCTCATAAGGTATCTGTAGAATTAGTGACCTATTGCATGTCTGTCTCCAGGGCTGGGGAAGAAAGCAGGCAGCTCCTCACCTCCCACCCCTCAGCCCATCACCTGGAAACTCAGGTGCAATCAAGTGTCAGGTTCTGTGTGCTACGCTTCAGAGCACCCACCTCCAGGGAAGTCACTTTCCCATAAGGATGGGCAGACACGGTTACTTCCAACATACATCTCAATATCCCTTAAGTAGCAGACAGGGTGGCGCCATCTTGGTTGTTAGGAAACTCCATTTAACTTATAAATAAGTTTGTAAGATGCGCTGACAGTATTTCATCATCCACAGCCATCCCAGTGGTTGAACATGTGGTATTTAGTTACTGAAGCCTACACAGATGAGCCCAGGTCTCGATGACCAGACTTGTGCATGTATCCACTGTTTGTTTCATCATGTCCACAGCCAGAGACCTGGGTGGGGCAGTCACACCCACCAGGCCTGCCACCTACTGGGTTGTACTTAACACAGTCAGAAGGGGTTCACGGCAATATAACAGTTAATGAACTTGGAGTTTAAATTGTGTAAATTTTTAAATTGTAAGATTTTTACTGTATATTGAAGCTTAGTGTGATTCAATAAATTGCTTGTAATTTAAAAACTATTTAATATTCAAAATAAATATAGTTATATATTTATAAACTCTGTTGCTACATTTATTCCTTGTTTTTTTTTTCCATGTGTGGGGTTGGCCTAGTACTTTGGGTCTCTAAGCCCCCACAGTCCTGAGGGCATGAGGCCTGAGGGAGGTGACAGCTTCCTACATTGCCCATAGGCAGGCTGGGTCACGGGTAGTGATACCCACGCCTGCCAAACATGACACTCACTCGGAACTGTAGAATCTGCACAAGTGGCTGTGATTCCTGTAATCCAAGCCCTTCTACTGAATGAGGAGTTCAGGTGAGGTTTGGTTTATGCCATCTTGGCCCAGCCCCCAGTACTACTCCAAGAAGCTCAAAACTTCAGCTGGGAAATGGCTCATTTGCTAAGACCTGTGTTCAATTTCTAAAACCCATGGTGCTTGAAAATGAAAAGGCGGTAAGGTGGAGCCTGCAAGCTTGTCATCCAGTTGTGGGGAGTGCCTGAGGAATTACAGTTGATGTTGAACTCCAACCTTCACACACTATGCTTGTGTACATGCACCGGTACCACACATACACACAAACATAGCAAACACAACAGCCTTTCACTGGTCTTTGGTGTGCCTTTAACCCAGCACCTGGGATACTAAGGCAGGTGGATTGCCACAAGCCCTTCAAGACCATCCTGGGCTATGATATGAATGAGGTCCTGTCTCAAAAACAATAGCTGTTCTATGCAGTATTGGGATGTCTCCATGGCCCCTGACCCCTGTCTCCTGTTTTCTCATTGAAGTCCAAGTGGTGTGAGGAAGGTGACAGCTTCCTACATTGCCCATAGGTCACAGGTAGTGACACCCAAGCCTGGCAAACATAGCTCACTCAGAGACTCGTGGCTGCATTTTGACATGTCCTATCAGCTCTTGGGGGGGAAAAGCTCCAGTTTAGTTGACCATAGTGACCAGCCACACTTATGATCCCTGCACCAGAGAGCCGAGGCAGGAGGATTGCCATGAGTTTGAGGACAGTTTAGGCTGTGGCGTCTCTGTCTCTAAAACAGAAAGAAAGCCAGGGATGTAGTTCAGCATGCATGAAGCACTGGGTTTAATCCCTGGCACCACACTGCCACTGTGCACATCTGTGACCGTAGCACTCACTGAATCCAAGAATGTATAGATAATTTTCAGCACATTTTTGTCAATAGTTGAGTACAAAACACAGAAGTTGAGCTGAGTGTGCCAGTACCCAGTTGTAATTCTAGCTCTTGGGAGGCAGGGGCTGGAGGATCAGAAGCTCAAGGACAGCCTGTGCTACAGCCAACAAAATGGCTCAGTCACTTGTAGCCAAGCGTAATGACTTGAGTTCAGCCCCTGGACTTGCACGGTGTGTCGGAAGGAGAGCCCAGACTCCTGCAAGTTGTCCTCTGACCTATGAGCAAACATACAAAACAAAGCCAAACAAGAAAGCTGTTTTCTGTAAGCACCATGGCCACTCATGGACAACTTGGGGGAGTGAGTTGTCTCTGTCCACCATGTGGATCCCAGACTCCAGTTATTAGACTTGGTGTCAGGTGCCTCTACCCACACAGTCATCTCCCTACCACATAACCTTTTATGTTGTAATTCCCTTGTGGCCTGGGGAAACCGAGTCAGGTGCCATCCATTAGAGAAGGTAGGCAGCTAGGTTTTGTTTTTTGTTGTTTTGGTTTGGTTTGGTTTTGGTTTTTTTTTAAGCCCAATTGAGGACAGTGATACCCTGCTGCTAGATCTAGTGACCTGGGTGGCCTCCCTGACCCACCCCATTCCAATCTGGAGAGACTGGAAGCAGGGAAAAGCTGTATCCTCGAGCCCTTAGTACCCACAGGGTCCGCTGGAAAATTCAGGGTGTTGTGGGCCAGGGTAGGAGAGGTCTTGCCAGCATGTTCAGGGATGTGGCCGCCGTTCCTGTAAGATTACGCAGGGTGGCTTATCCTAGACTCTGTTCTGAGCCTTAACCCCAAGGCCAGGTGCACTGGCCAGGTGCAGTCCGGGGGTTTCCCCCGCCCCAGCGGGTCCCCAGAGACGCCACGGGCTCTCAGACCCAGAGGGAGAGGGGAGGCGGGTCGGCACCGGTCCTCAGAGTGGGGGGCGTGGCCGCAGGTGCCGCCCTGACCCCGCCCAGCGAGCTCATTTACATGCTTCGCGGCGGCCCCGCCCGTGGTGGCTAAAGCTACGTGTCCTTGTCCCCCGTGGGCAGCCTCAGCGCGTGCGGCCTCGGATCGGATCCCCAGGTAAACCAAGGGGTTGGGGGAACTGGGTGGGACTACTGGGAGGGGACCCAGAGGCAGGACCAGATGAACGGCTGGTTCGGGGTGGGAGGAAAAACACAGATGGTGGCTCCCACTCAGACTGGCTAGTGCCATCCACGTGGTGGAACCGGGGGCTGCTGCAGGGCCTGGGCAACTGTCAGTCCGACCTGTGAGCTGTCCTGTGTGCACTTACTGCGGTTCTGGTTCTGGTAGTGTCTGGGCCTGTGTCATGTCCAGGAGAGCTATAAACATGATGTATAACGGTTGCTGCCTGTCCCTGGGACAACTTCCAGTGTTGGGGGGGACCCCATAAGCCAGGGTTGGGACCTGTTCCTGGGTGGTTTAAACAAATGGTCAAGGGTCACCTGGGCTCAGGAGGCACTTGCAATGGTAAGAGGCATGGGACCTGAAAAGGGTTCCCAGAGCAGTGGGCAGGGAAACTGCAGTGAAAGCATAGTGTCTGTGGGAGATCAACGGGCTGTGGGAGCACAGGGGAGTCAGCTCAGGGCTCAGTGTGAATGGGAAGGACACAGGTGGCACTATGCACCAATGGTCAGCTACACCGGCTAGTCATACCATTGCACTGGAGAGAAGTGATGAGACAGCCATGCTGCATGCACACTGACCGAGTGACTGAAGGAGGGGCTGTGTTCTGAATTTCAGTTTGAAGGGCCTCTTCTGGCCACCACCTCCTGGGAAAACAAGCTATGAAGACCAAGAACCGACCTCCCCGACGCAGGACACCCATGCAGGACACAGAAGCCACCCCTGGAGAGCAGACTCCTGACAGACCCCAGTCAGGCTCAGGGGGGTCGGAGCTGACCAAGGGTCTTCGGAGTAGGACTGCCCGTGCAGGTGGAGCGAGAGCAGAGGTCAACCGCCGGCGACAGGGGTCTGGGAGCCGCAGGGAGAACAGTGTTCAGAGGCGGCTGGAGAGCAATGAGCGGGAAAGACAACGGATGCATAAACTCAACAACGCCTTCCAAGCACTGCGTGAGGTCATCCCGCATGTACGGGCCGACAAGAAACTCTCCAAGATCGAGACTCTCACACTGGCCAAGAACTATATCAAGTCACTGACCGCCACCATACTCACTATGTCCAGCAGCCGCCTTCCGGGGCTGGAGGGGCCGAGTCCTGCACCAGGCCCTAAACTCTACCAGCACTACCATCACCAGCAGCAGCAGCAGCAGCAGCAGCAGCAGGTGGCTGGGGCGACACTGGGTGCCACCGAAGACCAGCCCCAAGGCCACCTGCAACGGTACTCTACACAGATCCACAGCTTCAGAGAGGGGAGCTAGCACCCGCTTTGGGCTCTGGGGTGGGTTGACAGTGCTGACCTGGCCTGCTCATCTTAACTCTGGTCCCTTCATGCCACAGACCCGACTGATGATGACACTATTGAGGTTGTTTAGGGGATTTTGTTGTTGACCAGAGACTCTTGTGTGGCCCAGGCTGGCCTGGAACTCCTCATCCTGCCTCCACCTTCTCTATAGCTGGGATTACAGGCACGCATCACCACATGGTGTGGTGCTAGGGACTGAACCAAGGGCTCTGTGCATGCTAAACAAGCAACGAGCTACATCCCGCAGCCCAAGGTTCAGTCTAGAGACTTCATTTTCCTTGAAATTCATCTCAGCCACCAACATGGGGCAGTTTTTCCTAGCCACCCAGGGGACAGTGTCAAATCATATTGAGGTCCAAATCTCTGGGGAAAGCCTGCCCAGTCCCTGTAGCTCTTTCTACAAAATAGGCAGGATGGGAAAGTACTTGCCTTCCTCACAATTCTTTTTATGTGTGGTAGCCAAGGGGCAATTCCAGGGAGAACTTGACTTACAAATGTCCCTGCTACTGCTGAGCCTAAAACCCACCCTGTATTGTGGGGCTACATGGAGGCTGGGCCCAAAGTGTCACCCAAGGCTCACCAGGGACTATTGCAAAGCCAAGATGGCTCTTGTTCTGCAGGAGCCAATCTTGGCAGCCCAGATAACCTGGGCCCAACTCAACAGCTGGGTTAGAAAGGCCTCATAGGACTTGACATGGATAAGGGGGGGTCTCTGTTTTTCCCAAGTGGAGTTCTGGAAAGTTAAGTACCTCAGGCTGTGGCTTACCAAAGCCTGAGTGGGGCCTGGGATCTGAGGCCCTGTGTGGAGACCAGGCAGGGTCTTTATGAGGAGGACCCTCAAGCCGCTGTACAGGGATAGACTTGCTCTGGACCTTTTGCAGGCTTCCCACACCTGTACCCCCGGCCTCCATCCCAGGGGCGCACCGCCATGCTTAGTAGTTTTCATTTGTCTCGCCTTTGCCCCTGGTGTATGGCTGCCACGTGTTTTTCCACAGGCTCATGGGACTTAGCTCTTGGTACCTTTGGTGTTTTCTCTGAGGCGGAAGCTGGAGTGACAGGCTTGCCCCTCCCCCAAGCTGGTCATTAATAACGAGGATTGAGTGGTTGGCAGCTAGCTTCCTCAAGCCCAGCTTCCTTCTGTGGGGCGTTCCTGCTCCACTGGATCTGCCAGGCTTCACTACTTAGCTGTCAGCTGCCTCTCCTTCCTCCCTTGTCTTTCTACCCAGAACTGTCCTGGGGTTTCTTGGGGTCAGTGCCCCCCCCTTTTTTTAGAGTGACAGGAATCTCACTATATGTAGCTCAGATTGGTCACAAATTATGCAGCCCAGGCTGGTTTTGAACTTGTGCTTAGCCCACTCCTGCTTCAGCCTCCTAGGCACTGTGAACATAGGTATAGGGGGACAGCCCTGGTGCTCCATGAAACAGGTGATAGCTACACTGGGCCTGGGGGTGTTGATCTCTCCATCTCAGTGAGACTTGGGTTTTGGTCTGGTCCTTTCACAGATCATAGGTTGGGTAGACTGAAAGCCTTTGTGTTTGTGATTCAGGGATGGTTACTGGGAAAGGTCAATAGTTAGGGAATTTGCCAATGTGAGCTGAGGCCAGGCACAACTCCAAGTTGGAAAGACGGAGCCCAGATATTCCTTGCTGTGGGGACCTGCCCAGTGGAACACAAGAGGCCTCTGCTGATGGGACAGTACTACAAACCCAGTGGCTGGCTTCCAGATGAGCCAAGGCCAGAGCTCAGCTCCTTTTGCTGGATCTTGCCTAGAAGCACAGGAGGAAGGGAAGATATCCAGCCAAACTTCTGCCCTAAGCCCAGGGCTGTCCAGGGTCACTGCCTTGCAGGACCACAGCCTTGTGGCTCTTTGTGCCCCCCGTGAGCTGGTCCTTGCACCACTCCCTGCTTCCCAGAGGATGGCATGGGCCTAGATGTTCAGTTCTTTACTGGTGACAAACAGGGCCTATATGTCCCTTGGGAGGCTAGGAGACAAGTCTGTGATGCCAGTAAGCCCTGATGGTCTGTCTCCTTGTCCCAAGCCCAGGCTTGTCTTTTTTTTTTTTTTTTTTTTTTTTTTCTGACATAGGTCTCACGTAGTCTAGGTTGACCTCCAACTTGCTAGGTAGTGATGGATGAACTTCTGATCCTCCTGCCTCTACCTCTTGCGTTGGGACGGACTACTGGCATGTACCCCCACACCCAGTTTAGTTCTGGGGATTGAACCCAGGGCTTGGAGCATCTTCAGCAAGCTCTCTACCAACTGATCTCCATCCCTAGCCTGGTCTCATCATTCCTGGTAGGTAACTGGGGAGGGGAGAGAAGAGGGCGGGGCTGAGCTGACTCAAGCCCCTGGATGAGAGGGATAGAGCTTCCCCCACACCAGGTCACCTGGACTGCGGAGCCACCAGAGCTGATCAACTTCCCATCAACACAAGCAGAGAAACAGGAAATGTGACCTGTCTGGAAAAGGCCAAGATGAAAGGGAACAGCCTGGGCCCTGACGTGAAAACATTCCTTCAATGACTTGAACTGGCTCTTTTTTCCCCTAATGGTTCCTGTAAAGTACTAATGAAATTGTCAGCTGCATCTTGAAATGAAAAGGAAAAGATTTCACTGCCACCATGCTTTGGTCCTAGGCACAGGTACCTGGAGACCTATGCCTTTTATCCCAAATGTCTAATAAAAATACATCAGTCATGCCATGCCATGGTAGAAATTTTTATTAAATAGAGTATCTGAGGAGTCTAGACAGTTTGGTGCCACTGAGGGGGTAAACAGTTGGTGCTCAGCGGTGAAAGGATGTGTCATCCTGGCTAAAGGGCAGAGTGACACCCTCGTAGTGCTCTGTTGAGAGCCATCTGCAGCAGAACACATGGGTCACGGTTGCTAGAGGACAAACCAGGATGCCCACTTGGAAACCTGATACTGACATGCAGGCAGGAGGGTGATCCTGGAACACCTCTCTGCACATAGATGTGTCTAGTCCCACCTCTGGAAATGCCGAGGACATGGGGCTCCTAGATGTCCTTGGGATGGGGCCTCAAAGTAGTTTCCTCTTAGCTTCTGGGGACACCCCTCATGCAGAATGGAACCCTTCCTGACCATGACATCACATGGAAGATTCCAGGACAAACCAGTTAGGGGTAAGTCTGTCCTGTCTCAAATGAACAAAGATGGGGCTCTGGCAACTCCTGGGTGGTGTCTGAAACATGAGACATCACCTACTGGGGCACACACACCAGGGGCCAGTGCTTAGGCCATGCCAGGCAGGCTAGAGCTCTCATCTCAGGACAGCAGGTGCCTTCTGCCCAGCCCTGGGGTACAAGATAGCTCTGGCCATACCCTCTCCACAGGGCACAGGATTCCTCACCCAAGTCTAGGGTGCAGGGTGCCTCCACCTAAACCTGGCCCCCCTGCAACAAGATCCCTGGCAAGGAGGCCCCACCCCCATATCTGAAAGAGGGGCTACATTGGAGTTCATAGTGGTGACTCTCTACATGGAGACTACCTTGCAGTGCACCCCAGGAGGGGTCCCCAAACCAGGATAAGACCCACCAGGTTCCAGAAGCAGGGTCTCATGTAGCTCAGGCTGGCCTCAAACTTACTGTGGAGCTGAGGGTACCCTTGAACTCCTGATCTTCTTGCCTTCTGAGTACTGGGATTACAGGCATGTACCATCATGCCTGGTTTATTTATCTAGATTTTTTTTTTGTGTGTGTGTGATAGTCTTGCTATGTATGTAGTCTTGGGTGGTCTCAAACTCACAATTCTCCTGCCTCAGTCTCCTGAGTGCCAGGCACATAGGCATTAGCCATCAAGCCCAACTCCTTAACTTTTGAAGCAAAACCCCATTTGGAAAACCTGCTGAGGGTTGACCGCAGACTGAGGCTTGTAGACCTGAGCCTCACAGCTGTTTCTCCTGGGGGTGATTTGGGGTCTCCAGGTGAGGATGGTCCCTCCCAGGATTTGCCTCTTTAGGGCCAGAGTTTCTGGAGGGCTCTGAGGTCCTGGCCTGGAAAGCTGGGAGGTATAACAGGGAGGGATCAGGGCTGAGAGCCCCAGGCAGTGGTCATCTCCTTCTCCCTCCAACATCCCACACAGACTTGGGACACCTGTGGGACTGCTCCCAGTCACAACTCTAGGCATTTTGTCAGTGCTTCAGAAATGGCTGACTTTGGCCTGACTGCCCGTGCATGTCTGGGCCTGGGTGATGCCTTCCATACTACACAAGAAAGGTTCAGTTCCAGTCCTTCAGGATCAAACCATCCTTGCCTCTGGTTGAGGAGAGGCTTCAGCAGTAAACGGGACCTTGAACATGGGCCTCCTGTTCCCTGGACATGTTCCTGGGTACCATGGTGGCATTGGCCCGGACAGAGATGTGGTCCCAGCCTCCCTACAAGCAGAAAGCCATGTATGTCATTTAGGAACCAAGTTTTCTCTCAAAGGCTCTCCCCCCCCCTCCCCATGCTGTGTCTGGTGCACATCCCAGATTGGCAGTGCACTTACTCCAATGCCATAGTCCCAGCTCTGCCCTTTGGGCTCCCGAGGCTGGACACCCATGCGACGACACACTGTCCCACGGCTCAGGCCATGGCTTCCCTGGACTTTGTTGGCAATTACCCAGACCTGGAACAGAACTTTGTTGGAGTTCCTGGCCCAGCTGCAGAGGGGCAGCTGGGTATGGGGGCGGGGGTGGGGGGGGAGAGACTGAGAGGAAGAAAGGGAGGGAGAGGAGGAGGGATGCTGTGGGGGGGAAAGCTGTGTGGAGAGAGAGAGAGAGAGAGAGAAGGGAAGCTATGTGGTTGAGAGAGACCAGAGAGAAGACCCTCTCCCCTCCTGCCAGTAACCTGTCCTCCCCTCCCCTCCTCACCTGGTCCAGTGGCCCCACAGACACTTTGCGCACATTGTTGGATACGTGCTCCCAACTGGAGCCTTGCGGGTAGCTGGGGGTGATCCCTGCTCGGTACCACAGGTTCCCTGGACAGAGAAGCAATGAAGGTCATCGGCAAAGCCCTTTGGCCCATCTTGGCATGCTGTGGGGTCAACCGCCCGCTCCCCATCCAGTCCTTCACACCCAAGGGCTCTTGATGACCCACAGCCAGGAGCCTGGGCCACAGCCAGCCCTGTCTCTCTGTGTTCTAGGCTTCATAATCGTGTCATTGTGCCTCCTGGGGCTGACAGCCTTGGCCTCTCTGCTGAGGGAGAAGCCGAGGACAAAGAATGTTTTAAGCAAATAAAAAGAAAACCGGATCTGGATGCAACACCCTGGACTCCAAGACTGTTTTTGTTTTCTTTTCTTTTTCAGTCTCAAGTAGCCCAGTCTGGCTTTGAACTCCTGATCCTGCTGCCTCCGTCTCCCAGTATTGAGATCACCGGTACACAAGCCACACCCAGTGTCAGGGATTGAATTCTGGGCTTTCTGTGTGAGAGGCAGGTGCTCTATCAACTGAGGTTTTCAGAGATGGGATTTCATTATGTAGCTCAGGACAGCTTCAAACTTTCCTTTCTAGGACAACAGAGGTCATAAGACACGCTCTAGCCGGGCGTTGGTGGCGCATGCCTTTAATCCCAGCACTCGGGAGGTAGAGGCAGGCGGATCGCTGTGAGTTCAAGGCCAGCCTGGACTCCAGAGCAAGTGCCAGGATAGGCTCCAAAGCTACACAGAGAAACCCTGTCTCGAAACACCCCCCTCCCCCCCCCCCCCCCCGCCGCAAAAAAAAAAAAAAAAAAAAAAAGACAAGCTCTACCATACCCGCCTTCAAGTTCTGAGACAGGGTCTCATGTGTTCCAAGCTTGCCTTGAACTTACTGAGGATGGCCTGAACTTCTGATCCTCCTGCCTCTGCCTCCCAAGTGCTAGGATCACAGGCCTGTGCTACCATGGCTCCAAGTCTTGATTCTGCTTTTCCTACCCTCTCATCAATACAATCAGTAAAATCTTGAGAAGAATGGGACAGGGCCCTGTCTGAGGTGACAAAGGGATCAGAAATGGCCCAGGGCTGCCTATGGGGCTCCTATGTCCCACACCCAGGCACTACTAAATGACGTTCTAAATGCATCCGGGGCTGGTGTCATAAACTGAGTAAGTTAGGGAAGAGACTAACTGACATTTCTGGCCTCATGTAGGGCTCCTAGGGGCTTTGCTGTTTTGTCTTGGTCCAGGTCCTGCCTGCATGGCTCCTGAGGGTCAACACTGGGCTGAGCTCCAGTGTCCAGTCTCTATGTTAACCACAATGCTGGAGGGTGACCTTAACAGGTAAAGTTCCTTGTCCTTAGGGAAACAACACAGATAGGTCTGGAGACTTCCAAACGATGTTTTGAGAAGCGATGACAACCCAGCCTACTTGTGGCCTGGTCACGATCATACTGGGGTATCCATGGGACCCTATCCTCCCCACTGACCACGCAGACTCAGAAATAACTTGCCGTTTTCATCCAAGGCATATACTGATGTCTGGCCCACAGACACCTGTGTCAGCTTCTGTTTGGGAGGAGATGGGATGTGATACCAGCAGTCACCTGTGATGGAAAAGCTGCCTCAGGAGGTTATTGGGAGCCCCCACACCTGTGAGCCCAAACCCAGGCCTGTTCAGTGCTCCAAAGCTCAAAGTAGGCTGAGCCCTTGTAGCCAGCCTTCAACCCCAGCTGAACAAATGTATGGCTGGGCTCAGTGTGTGCGCTGAGGGTCATGTAAGGCCACCTCAGGCTCTGCCATCCACTCAATATCCCAGGTTTGCCCAGGCTCCTTTGGGGTCCATCCTGGGTTCTGATACCAAGCCCACCTCATCCATGTGACTTGAAGGTGCCTAGCCTGGCACATAGTTGGGAGATGGACTCAGTGGCTGCCCTTCAACTCCCTGTAAAACCCAGCATAGAAAAGGCCAGCACGGCTCACACCCCGAGATAACAAG